ATGTTAGTTATAAAAAAGAGGCACCCTCATGGGTCTAAGGTATGTTGATATTCTGTCTAGTGAGTTAAGCACTATTGGTTATATCTTTAAGAGATATTGAGTACTGACTTGATCGTCAGAGTGCCCCCGGATGGACGAGCCACCGCGGGAAACTCTTCTTTCTATTGCAGGTCGTTCGGGATTAATCTATTCTGCCGGTGTTCTCCAGTTGAGTACTAAGTTGGCAGTGTGGTCAGAAAATCACTCACACATTACATATATCAGTGTAGCTCTCTACAAAAAATTATATATAAGTGAAAAAATTTATTCATATTAATAACTAAAATTATAAGTTTTTTAATGATTTTGTACATAATTTTTTGAGAATACACTGGAAAGTAATTTCCCCTTTAATGAATATGGTTTTCTCCTTTTTGTTAGTGACATGGCAAAATTAGAGGTAAGATAAAAATTATTGCAAAATTCAAAACTGGAGGTAAAATAATAATAATAATTAAAAAAAAAAACTGTTGAATTCATAATAGCTTTATGTGTATTTTTTTTTTTTCAACTACAAAAGTATATCGAGAATCAAATTTTTAATTGTAAGATTAATGACACTTTACTTTTTAACTATCAATTTATTTTCTTAGCTTTTTAAAACTGCATATTTACAAGGCGAAAGTAAAATATTTTTATAGTTTTTTATTATTAAAAATTTATTTTTTAAGTTCTCAGAGACCGTAGCCTAGGGAGGGGAATCGAATCCTGGCCTCTTATTGAGGGGCTGGACTCTGACCAACTACTTCTCTTTTTATTTATTTATATAGTGTTAGTAGATTAGTAAGTTAAATTACAACAAAAGGACTGTAGTCGTTCCATCGATTCCACCCTAAACCCTTGATCTTTTTACTCTCGAATTCTGTCACTCTATCGACTCAAACTCTGAATTTTTGATCTTCTCATTTTCTTAAAGAACAACTATATGGACTACTGGACCAATTGTTCTATAACTTTGACCAACTAAATTAGACCCAATGATTGAAACAATTTTTCTATTTTTCTTGGGTACATTGGAGACTGTAGCTTAGGGAGGACAATTCATATTCCGTGATCTCTTATTAAGGTGTAAGGTCTTTGACCAATTAAACTAACCTACTAGTTGAAACAATTTTTATAATTGAGGGGTTTATAATTCTAAAGCTAAGAAAAGTAAAGTGAGATTCTTAGTATAGTTAAAGGGGTAAAGTAAAATTAATCCTTTAATAAATTGATTGTTATTAATCCTTCACAAATCATATTCCATGATCTCTTATTAAGGTGTAACGATTTTGACTAATTAAACTAGCCTTGTGGTTGAAACAATTTTTACAATTTGAAGGGATTAAATGTATAGTTCTAAAGTTAAGAAAAGTAAAGTGAGATTCTTAATATAGTTAAGGGGGTAAAGTAAGATTAATCCTTTAATAAATTGATTGTTATTATTATTTGTACATGCAAGAAAAAAATTACACATAGAGCTATTAAAATTGTGAATTTAAGAAATATTTCTTAAAAATTTTACCTCTACTTTTGCCATGTCACCAACAAAAGGGAGAAAATCATTTTGTTAATCCATAATTGAAAATGAAAAAATAATATTCTTAATTGAAAACACGATGAATGTTTTTTTTTTATTTTTTATAATGTAATATTAAATGTGAAAGTACTGGGTGGAAAAATCTGTAATTTTAAATGTGAATATTAATCACACTGAATGCTTTTTCTCTTAACACGAGACTGGAAGTTAGATATATGAAAATTTTCAATTCAATATAAATTTAAAAAATATAAATAAATAATAAATTTTATAAATATTAATAATTAAAGTCATACTTTTTTATTTTATTTTATTAGTGAATAGATTGGCTTCAGCTCTTATTTGGTGTTAAGCTTCTCTTTCAGAGGCTCCTAGTGACCTAAAAGAAAGATTTTTCTGGGCAGAAGCTCTCGATTGTGCAGGTTATTTTTCAAATCCAAGCATGAGAATACCATATCAACCTGAGCCTCTTTGTTTTTACTTTGTTGTCCTTTGCATTGACTCTATTTTGGACATCCCATCCCAATTACCTCATCAGACAGAAAAAGAACAAAAAAAAATAAAAAAATGAAACACAAAAGTCCACTACCTATCCAACAGCCCAAACCATGTGTTGCCTCCACATGTACCTACCAAAATCACATCATATACAACTCCTAAACTCTATGGCACAATATTTGGCTTCATTTGGGAATTGATTATTTTAGAAGTTTTTTGATTATTTGATTATTTTAATACCTTATTTTAGTTTTTGTGTTTGAAAAGATGAGATGAATTTTTATTTGAGTTGTTATATTGAAAAATTTGTTGAAATGATGTTTAAAGTTAAAATAACAAATTTGTCCCTAACTTTTTATTTTTCAAAATTAACTAAAGGGGCAAAATTATAATTTAACAGCTGTGGGATGAATTTCCGTGGCACAGTACCTAGCTGTCCGTTGCTGTGGGATAGCTGTGGGTGTAGGCTGCTGCTTGTTTTTATTTTTATTTTTTTTATAAAAATGGTTGAACATACCTTTTGGCTTATTTTCAAATTGAGGCTATAATAGCCTCAAATTGATCTTCCCAAATAGCGCCTTTATATATAAATTATGGTGATTAATTTAAGATCCTCTTATTATTCTAACATTACATCCTTGGATGATTATGAATAGAGGAGGGTAATATTTATTTGAGAATTACGGATATTCAAGTTTTGCTTACATATCATTTCTAGGGAGAATTTTTTTTTTATTATATATTTTTGAAAATTAATTGTTAATACAACAGTACTACACACATGAAAACACATGAAACCACACAAAACTAATTAGAGAATCATTTACTGCAAAAGTTTTTGTAGTTGGTTTTGAGATTGATTTTTGCTAACATTTCTCTTGTTGATATGATAATTTATTTATTTTTTTAGACAGAGAGAGAGATAATTATGTGATTTTTTGTTTTCATCAAGAGAAATGTACAATGATGAAGGTCTTTTGGCTTTTTTTTTCCCCCGCATTTAACATTTGCTTTTATGATAGAATTTACTTTTTCTTTTGTATTTTTGTATTTTTTTTGTGTGGGTGTTCATAGAAAGGGGATAGAGTAGAATGATGAGATAAGATGTATGCTAATGATAGGGAAATTTATTTTGATATGCATGAATACAATTTAATGATAGACGTTTTTGCTTAATTTGATTTTGTTTTTAAAATTTTTGCTGTTATTTTATTTTTATGTGACATATTCATCGTATATTAAATACACATAAAAAATGAGGTTTTTTCGTGTTGAGTCTTAGGCAAACACCTTAATTACATTATGGTCGAACCAAATTTTTTTTTTCTTCTTAATTTGAAATAACAATAAGTTTACATAATTAATTATAATTCCTAGATGATATAATAAAAATCTTCTGTTGTAATCATAAAATGAGAAAGATGTGAATGGATGTAATTATATAGATATAAATAAGAAGAAAACAGTAAAGAGTGATGTTAAAGGTTAAAGCAGCCATAGGCAAGCAAACAAAAGCAAGCTTTCCCTTTTTAATTTCATAGACATACACTACTTTATTTAAAAGTGATGAGAGAGAGAGAGAAAAATAAAATAAACTTACTCAACATGATCCTCTAAGGGGCCATAGCTATCATGCGCAGCATAGTCACCATCCCACCTTATACTAATTGCATCCCAATAGGTTGTCAATAATTATAGAAGGTAAATGAGTTAGGTATTCTCAAACAACCATGAGTTCTTGTGGAAGTTGGGACCATGGTTAAAAGTGGTTTTTTTGTTTTTTTTATTTGTTTAGGTTACATCTCCTCATTATTATTTACATGTTTTTTAAAAAAAAATTTTAAAATAAACTTTTAACTTATTTATCAAAACAAGGCATATTATTCACTTATTTTGGAGTAATCAGAGCTGATTAAATCTAATATGACATTTTAACATGACATTTTTATTGTCCCATGACTTCCATTTTTAAGTTAAAACAGTTATATTTTATCCATATTAATATTTGTAAGACTCATTACATGGCAGGGTTAGTCTCATATTCATGTGTTATTACCGTGTTAGTTTAATAAGGTTTATTATTTATTCTGTTTTTAATACAACAATGACACAAAAAAAAATAAGACAATCACATATGAAAGAGTCTCCAAACAACTGTGCTAGGAGTACTAAAGGTTTTTATTTTGGGGGTGTTTGAGAAGTCGTGAGTGAGGCTATTTTAGCCTTAAATGAGAAAATTGCCAAAAAGCAACGGCTGTCATTGATTTTCAAAAAAAAAAAAAAATAAAGTCAAAAAGCAACGGCTGCTGCAGCAACGCAGCCTACACTGTCACCAACAGTGTAGGTTGCAGATAGGTTAAATTACTATATTACCCTTACACAATAATTTGGAAAAAAATAAAGTCAGGGACAAATTTGTCATTTCAATTTAAATATCATTTTAAACACATTTTTCAATACAACAATCAACTCAAAAATTTAACCCAACTTCCCAAACACAAAAATTAAAATAGTCTATTAAAATAGTTAAAAAGCCAAATAGCCTACTAAAATAGTCACTTCCCGAGACCAATGTGAGACAAATGTGTGATTTATCTTATATTTTGTAATTTTTAATACATTATTTAGATTTTCACACTTCAAAAAATAAAAAATATATATTATAAATTTTACAATTTTAATATAATTACATCACCATCTTTTTTAATAAGGATTTAAACTAATATAAATGGTATAATGATACAAAATAAACAAAATAAAAATATATGTTTGAAAGTAAAATATTATTTTTTTATTTATGTGATTAATAAATTATTGAGAGAGAGAAAAAAAAAAAGCTAAGTATTTTTTGAATTAAATTTTCTTTAAAAAATCAATATTAAATTATAAAAATAACTATATATATAAGCCTAATTTATCCAAAAACATAAAAATAAATGTTACAGTTACTCTCTCTCTCTCTCTCTCTCTCTCTCTCTCTCTCCTATAAAAGCCTTTCGATTTTGGACGCGCCATCTCTTTCTGTCCCGAAGGTGATTTTTTCGACAACCGATCGGAGCTGACGGACTGGCCGGACCGGCGAGGTTTCGCCGTCGTGTGAGTCGCCGGAGATTTGTCTTCTTCGTTCTCAGATCTGTGAAAGTCTCTCTCTGGAAGGTAAGTTTTAGCTGTTCAAGTGTCGCAGTTGAGTGATATGAGTAGTGGTTGATTCGGTGGGAGAATTTTGTGATCGAATTTGATTATATTTGACCCTTTTTTTTACTTCTAATGTCGAGATCTTTGACTTCATTTCTGTTCTTTATGATTTATATATATCTGTATATATAGAAAGTGAGTTGTTCTTTCTGAATTCGATCTGTTGCGTATTTTTGTACATCTAATTGTGAATTCTTAAGGAAAATTCACGTTAACATGTTTTTATTTTGTTTTGTTTACTTTTTTGTGGTTATGCTATGTTTGATTGACTTGAGTCAATGCAAAGTCAGAAAAAGGCTGTGGAAAATTTTAGAAAGTTACGCGATTTCGTGTTAGATTATTGATCCTAGATGTCAAAGCATTGCTTACTGTTGTTTTGACTTTTTATTTCACATTTAAAAAAAATTAAAAAAATAGTGATGTAGATGTGTTTTTGTTACTCATGCAATTGTTGGTATCTTAGTTATATTTTACTATCGTGATTTTGAGTGAGTGCCTGCAATTTGATTTGGGATGTGCTTATTATTTAAATCTGGAACTGAATTTAACACTTTGCTTTTATCAGTTTCTGATTTTTGGTGGGAATGAAAGAAAGGAAAGGACAATTTGTGAAAGTGCTACAAAAGAAAGCATTTTTCTTTCCCTTCCCTGATTCTTTCAGGCTGAGTTTGGATTAGGGATTAGTAGAGGGAAAGGAAAAGTATACTCAAATTCATTATCCACACACAGCCTCAGATGTCTCCTTGAACAGTGTCAGAATTTGAGAACTGGAATTAATTAGTTTTCCTAGCATTTGTTTGATGGTCCATCTGAAAAAGAGTTTTGTGCAGGTACAGTGTTGGTGGCTTTTGTAGTTTGGAGGTTGTACAGATTACAGAAATTGTATGATACCCAGATGAGCAAAACTGATGTTATTGGCAGTGGAAGGAGGAGGGTTTTTCTCTTCTTCAGCTTCTGGCTATAGCAAGGGTCTGACCCTTCTTCTCTTGGGTCAGAGGAACGAAGAAAAACCCATGAGAGTTTCTCCGTGGAATCAATACCAGTTGGTGGACCAAGAATCCGAACCTGACTTCCAGCTGGCTTCTAGGAAGAACCGACTTGTCCACGGGTGCGCTCCCTTTGTCTGCTTTGGTCGCGCCACCGCAGGACTTGAAAGCCCATCTCCTTTAAAAGTAGGCCCTACCCAACAGCAGGACACCCTGCCTAAGGCCCCCCGTGTAGCTGACAAGGGCAAGGATCATATCCATGCCACTAAACTTGTTGACGATGACAATAACTCAAGCAAGCTTGCTTTTAAGAGTAGCTTGAAGAAACCTACCAAAACCATACCAGTTTTTGGTGGGGTTGCTAATGAACATGAGGTGTTGTGTGAGAAGGGAAGCGATATCTCGGGTCATATGGAGAGGAGGAAAGTGCAGTGGACAGATACTTCGGGAGGAGAGCTTACTGAGATCCGGGAATTTGAACCCAGGTAAAAGAACTCTAGACTTATATGTGCTGTTGTCAATTGCAGTTTGTGTTGAATATCTTTGCCTACATTTTTTTTGTTTCCTTGCATGTAAGGCATGTCTATGGAAAGCGGAAATTTGATTATTCAACATTGGAATGCTTTTCAATTTTTAGCTATGAGAATCTATATTTGTATGGCATCTGTAGTGTTTATGCCAAACTGTTGCTGTTCTTGCTTCCTGGAATTTCAACTACTTTTCCTTGCTATCACTTGCATATCTTGTACACCTTGTGCATGCTTTGTATTGAAAATTCATTTTCATAGCTGCATCTTGCTTTTCAGGTAGAAACAGAAATAAGAAAAAGAGAGCACTTGGTTCCGATTGCTTTATGAGGGTGAATAATCATACTCAAAATGTTTTTAATATATTCTATCCTGCAGAGGTTTTAGCCTTTTTGGCATTTGACCATAATCTTAAAAGTGGATGTTAAAATGATGAAGCATTTTCTATTCTCATACTCAAAATGTTTTTAATATATTCTGTCCTGCAGAGATTTTAGCCTTTTTGGCATTTGACCATAATCTTAAAAGTGCATGTTAAAATGTTGAAGCATTTTCTATGCTCCTTATCATAAGATTTCTATAATATTAATTGTAGATGCCTTACATGAGCACGCGCGCGCACACACACACACACGTGTATATATGTAGACACTCGCACACATGCCAATGAACAAAAAAAATCTCTTTGGGGCTTACGCATGAAGGAGAGGGATAAGGCTTATTGAGAACTTCCAAAACACATTCTCAAGGTATGAGAAACTGGCGAGGCACATGCTTTTGTGCCTTTTGTTTCTTCTTTTTGTTTGGAATGTTTATTAAGGGGTCTTCTCCTTTAAAAAAAAAAATTACGTTAGTGTTTCATTTTCAATTGTCATCATTTCACTCATTTTTTAATGTATTTTTAGCCTTTAATTATCAATTACAGTGTGAATAACCTTGTGTGTGATAATATCTATATATATATATATCTATATATATCTATGCTATATTAGAAAACAAATGCTCTATCTGGTGTGCTGAAGGTCTATCACATGTTAGTATTTCCAGAATAACCCTTAACTACCAGTTAATTTAAGAATCCACCACAATATATGGAAAGTGCCTAAACTTCAATAATATCACTTGTTTATGCTCTTGTACCAATGTGGCTATGTCTAATTGCCCTAATTGTTGGTCTATCAATAGATTAGATTTTGAATTTCAATCAAATCCAATTTGAATTCAACAATTAAGTCAGATATGGTATTGGATTTTAATCTGCTGAACTGATAACGAAATGAAGCCAATTGATCCAACTATCATTGGATTGAGCACATCAGTTATGATCTGGTACGACCTAGAAATGTCAGACTTTGTTTTCATAAAATGTAACATATTTATCATTCTGCCTTCTATTGTTTAACCGCATTCTGCTTTATATTTACCACTGAAATTTATAGGTAATACCAGTTGGCAGTATAAATACACAAGGCAGAATCCAGGTTTTTATATCAAAATTAGAAACCTTTTCTGTGTGTGCTCAAGCACTCGAGTGTGTCAAGCATGCTTTTTCTCTCACTTTGTTCTCCATATAAATTATCATTATTTTTCCTTAATTGGGGTTTCTTCATTTCTTATGAAATTATTTGCCCAGTGATCTATAGAAGAATAGACAGGGCTATATTCTATGTGATAGGACGTTATTACTATATTTTCTGGTATTTTTAGTTCATAGGAATCTAAAAGACTAGTTTCCTTCTCAAACTTTTTCCCCTATTCTTTTTCCTGTGTTGTGCAAGCTTCTCAGGTTGGACTGGATAATCCAGTTGAAAAGCCACTAGGTTGCAGTTTGGATGTGGACTGAAGAACTATCGATCCATTAAATTATTGGATTACATTGGATTGTTATTTTGCTTAATTAATTTGATTAGAATCACTGGCTATCAAGTCTGGACTCAATCCATTGACAGGGATTCATCTTTAGCATAATTATGGGCTTGTTTGGGAATTGGCTATTTTAGTTGGCTTTTTGGCTTTTTAAGAAAAGATATACAAAAAAGTAGAGAGAGTGATATGATTGAGTGTTTTGACTTTTTGGCTATTTTAGCCAAAAAGCTAGCTTTCCAAGCATGATTAGTTGATAAAAAAGATCTTACGAAAGTTGATATTTCGTCTTACCCTGTGACTGACACAATGGTGCACCAGTAATTCAATGCAATGTAATTTATGACACTATAACTTTGTCAGAGGTCTATGAAATATAATTTATTACTCAAATCAAGGGTTTCTTGTTATATACCCCTACCATGATAATGAGGACTGTTAGTTTTCAACTCTGCTAGTGCCCACGTAGGGTAAACATTGGTGAGGCATATTGTGTCAAACTTATGCAGTGCAGATCGATTGCTATGAGCCAGGACTTAATTGGTTCATTTGGATGCACTATGAGGGTGATAGGCAGTCTATGAAGATGTGACTTTGAATAATTGGAGTGTGAGAAATGCTAGGTCTTCCCAACTTATGGTATAGGTTTTTGTTTGGTTGAGAATAATATAATTTAGAGAAAAGACCAAAATATATTTCCTGCTTAATTGAAGTGTGAGTACGAACAACCACGCAAGGATGCAGAAAATTATTTCAACAGCAATGACAAATACATAATAATCTAAATACTTGAGACTGAAAAGTAAATTATATGACAAATGAAAATACCCTCACAATGTTGTAAATATAAAAGCTCTTTAAATAGAACAATCACAATGCATCTTAGTCTTACATCTCTCAACAATAATCACTTCTTGTAGCGTATTTTGAGGTACGACATACCAGGATTCTTTCAGGTTGATGTTGGTATCCCGTGGATTCTTTCTTTGTCAATGATCTAGAACAGTGATGATGAGGCCATTTGCATTAATTACACAACAAGAAACAACTTGTAGCTGGACATTCAGGTAGCATGTGCCAGGATTCCAAGAAAGGTTGATGTTGGTGATATAACCCATGACTTCTTTCTTTGTCAATGATCTAGAACAACAATTATGATGTTGGGCACCTGCATAATTGTTGTGTTTTTTTGACCTAATACCTTGGCAATTTTTATGTTGTTGAAATGAGCTTTCATTATTGGGATTTGGGAGTACAAAATGCAACCCTTCTCTTGATTCTCTATCTATTTACCTTAATTAAGGTTAATTAAGCTCTCTACCTTATAATTTACTCTCTATTGGGGCTTTGTGATTGTCTTGAAGAACTTATTTATATACGATCAGTAATCACTCTGTCCAATATTTGCTGGTGGAAGTTTCTTGGGTTCCTGCTTCAGAATTGTTTCTGCTTGTTTCATCTAAATGTTTGTGAACTTCACATTTCACATGTGCATATTTGTGCTTCTTGCATGACAATTGAGGACTCCCTTGAGATAGAATTTGATATTTTGAGACTCTTTTTGTTGTCAACATAACTCTTTAGCGTATAAGGCATGCTAATTGCAGAACAACTATAAAATGTGCTAGCAGAAACCATAATGATTACTTTCTTATTTGGTTAATCAAATTTAAGAGTAGTAATGCAATCACTTCTATATGTTAAATCTTTTTGTCAACGATATTCTGCTTATTGTCGTTTCCAAAATTTAAAAAAAAAAAAAAAATCTAGTCCAAGCCTTTGTATCTCCTTATGGTGAGTGCTTCCAAAATCTCCTGAAAGGGATTCTGTTTTCACAATGTTTTAACTCCATCTAACCATGTTTAATTCTTCTTTTATTGGAATTCATTTTTAAGAGATGGAATGAAAAAACTTTTTCCTTGTTAGGAATATGTTATAAACAAGTAATTGGTGTCAACTTCTCTATTAGAAATTTAAAACTTGTTTTGATATTTCGCTGTTTTAAATTTTGTCGAATTTGGTTGCTTTAATATTCCATTTATATGAACTTATTTTTTGTCTGCTTTGTGTATTGTGAATTCTGTGCAATGGCAGTGAAGTGGGTGGATCAGATGATGAATTTGACAATGGGAATGACAAGAGCTGTTTGTGTAGAATAATGTAGTTTTAGTTTCGTCTTTTACTAGAACCATGTGTGGGTTCAACTTCTACTAGAAGGCCATGAATGAGGTAATGGTTGAGTCACCATTGACAGAGCTCGCTTCATTTCTACCATGTTCTGCTGAAGTTTGGACAAAATGAAGAGTGGGATTTCGAGTTAATAGAACGTTCGACGACCATTACGAGGATTTCTGATCCGGGCAGGCTTCATCAGGGAGGACTGATCAGTCGTGTCGATATTCCATTGCTTGGGATTTCAATTTTGGCTATCTGGTTTTTACTTTGTTTTTCTCTTTTTTATATATTCATGTTCTTTCACAAATGACTGCATTGACCATTGTTTTACCGTAATTAATGTGGTATTTTCAGTTTCATTTTTCTGTATGTAGGGTTTATGGAATTATGTGGAGCTTCTATGGAGCCCTAGGTGTTGTTGGTCTTCAACATTTGCAAAGTGAAAATTTGTATCCAAAAGCTGATATACCCATGTAGCACATTACAATTGAAACCTTACACCCCCTACAAAATTGTGAAACATACATGGCTTTGTTGTTGGCGAGGCAGGTTATTGGCACTCTTGGGGTGTTTTGGTATTGTTCAAGAAACACCAAATAATCGCGTGGCTCGTAGAGCTGTTGGGTATCGCCCAAATAACTTCTTGGCAGGCAAAGCATGTGTTGAATATATATATATATATATATATATATGTATATTGTAGAAGATTATATAAATAAGAATAGAATGATTACTCCCAAGCCAAAACAGCTTCTCCTCTCACTGCATATTGAGCCCAGCAGTGAGCTGCACCATTTGCACTTCTTTGAACAAAACTCATCTCCATGAGCCAAACGTTGCAGCAGCTGCTTGATATCAACCACCACATTGCTGACCTCTTCACCAATGGTGATAATGCCCAAAACCATTCTAACTACCAATTGTGAGTCCCCTTCAATGCACAAATTTTGCAACCCCAGCTCCAAAGCCAACACCAGGCCTTCCCCAGCAGCACAGGCCTCAACAACTAAATGCGAGAATCAATTATGAAGATGCCGTGTTTGAGCTGCCACAAACTGGCCTGGCTGTTAGGACACCAATCCCACAGCATCCCTTCGAGGAGTCCACGCCGCCATTGAAATTAATTTTTACGAGCACATTTTCCGGCTGAACCAACTTGGCCATAGCTTGACCATGAGCCCCAACATTAACTCGCTCTCGCCCAACGTCTGGCTCATTAGCTTGCAAGTATCTATGAGTTCTGTCACCGATATTCCACAAATACGTCGGGGACAGAGATCCCCACCATTAGAATGTGCTCCATTTCGTGCTTTCCATATTTGTGAAATCGTAAATACACACAAAGCTCTTACGCCCTGTTTGTTAGGGGTACATAAGAGGTAGATATGAGGGGGGACCGGATATATTATGTGGGTCTCATACGTTTTTTTGTGTCCCTATATTCTGTGTTTGGTTGCTCCGGATATAGGGAGTCTGGATAAGATTTTCTCAAAAAGGGGATATGCAATACCAATCTCCCATAGTATTGTATATCCCCCATCATTGGATATAGGGAATCTTTTATCTAAAGATCAAAAATAATTACTGTACGGGGAGCAAATATTCAGGCAAGCCCGTATTCCTTTCTTTCAAGGTCCTGTCTGTCCGATCGACCTGCGAGCACAACGGCGGTGAGCTACCCGGCAGTGTGTGGCCGGAAAACCCCTCCGACGGTCAAGTTAGCACACACCTTAGGATAAAGAGAAAGAGAGAGGGGAGTGTTAGAGTGTAGGAGTCCCTTACAAAGTGTTTTTTTTTCTCGTATGGGGGGCGCAGACATGCTTATATACCCTTCTGCATCCCAAACCTGCTCCCAATGGTCCCTCGACACGTGGCTCTGCTATCCCATCTGTCAGCACAAATCCTGCTGAGCGTCACCTAATCTCAACTGCCCGCTCACTCTGCTGGGAGCTCGGCAGCCGAGCTGCACCATCTTGTCCGCCAACGGTCGTGCTGTGCTTCATATCCAAGCACTCCACTAGCTAAGCTTAATAAGGACCGGGCTAGGCAACATCTCGACAAAGCCGAGCAAACAGGTACCTCGGCTGACCACGCCTATCCGAGCACCGGTCACTTAACTTGACTGGCTTCGCCTCCGTCAAACATGTAGCTCGGTCCAACAAAGCGTTCCCTTAATCGAGCAACTTCTTTCCAAATTGGGCCACACATCCTCGGCCCAACACTCTGTCCGGCCCAAATCTGTCCGGCACAACTCTGTCCGGCCCAAATCTGTTCGGCATAACTCTGTAACATTAATCTCCCTCTCAATTGCCCCTTAATTCCGTCCGCAAAAGCGTGACTGGGATTACTCACTTCGACCGGGATAACATTTCTTCGGTCTTCAGAATGCTAAATGGCGACCGGGCTAGGTAACATTACTGTCTGCAAACTTGCCCGGTTATACTCCTCGGCTGACGTCCTCTTTTTTGAAAGTAGCCCGGTTGGCTCTTCGACTCTTCAACCTGTCTCCTCAGTTCTGACGTCGCCATAAATGGGGACACGTGGCGGGCTGTCATTGGTTCTCGAGCAGCCAACTCGCCGTTTTTGCCAGAATTTGAATTTGGGCGGTCTCGCCCTTGTCTATACATCCCCCGCCGTTTTGCCAGAATTTGAATTTAGGCGGTCTCTTTTCCTCTATAAACATGCCCCTGCCCTCTTCCTTCCGCTCTTACTGCCTCTTTTGCTTATCAAGCTTCACGGAGCTCCTGCCCCTTGTTCCTTGCCAACGCTGAGTTTGTGCTTGAAGAAGAGGACTCTGCCCTACGCTCGTAAGTCCTCAAACTTCTCTTTTGTTGTCGTTTTCTTTGATATTTCGCATATTAGGGCCTGAAATCGTAGCTTTTAGGCCTTGGGCACCTAAAACCATCACAAACCCTCCATTGTTAACGGTGTTCTTCATTTTTCCTGAAGAACACTGAAGAACTGGGGCGGACCGGGCTCCTGGTCTTCATTTGATCCAAAAAACCAATCTAACCGAGCAAATAACATGTTTGTCTCAACCCCAGCAAAAACCGAGATAGCAAAAGGAATTGGTCGCTCAACCAGGCTAACATCTGGTCTGCTTGGGCGACCGAGCTCCTTAGTTAGCTTAGACGACCGAGGTGGTTTGGCACGCTTAATGACCGAGCTAAAGTCCAGCTCCCTTCGCGTGACCGCGCTCACACTTACACTTGCCATCATTTTCCTGCAGAGTCCAAGGGGACCACTGTCCATTCCTGAGGCTCTCAGGGCTGAGCAACAACCAATTACCATAGTGCCAAACCCCTCAGCCAAGCTATCCTAGGCCGGCAACAAATGGGGAAATTCCGCTTCCTAGTGGATACTTCGGCCGCGCTGGCTGCGTTTAGGGAGGAGTACGGCATCCCGGCCGATGTCTACCTGGAGCTCGCAGAAGAAGAGACCACGCCTTGGGGTAGAACAGAACAATGCCCCTTCACCGTGCTGTCGATCGTCGAAGGAGGCCTGCGCTTCCCACTCAATCCATTAATTACCGAGTTCCTACGCCGAACCGAGCTAGCACCCACCCAAGTGTCTACCAACACCTACCAGATAATAAACGGTGTGCACGAACTAAACAACCGGCTAGGCACAAACTTAGGCTTAGCCGAGATACTGCGGCAGTACACCCTTGGTCATACCAGCGACGGCCTCGCTTACTATCTTAAGATCAGGCCGGGCAAGGAGAAAATTGTAACCGGCACCCCGGACAAAGACTTGCATGATGACGATTTTTTCTGGGTGTCGGGCAATTACGAAACAGCCGACGTACCGGTCTGGTTTATAAGTAAGAATTTCGGTTCCTCATGTAAGTCGCTCAAACTTACTCGGTCAGCCTACCTCCATTTTGTGATTAACCAGTTTTCTTGTTTCTTTTGCAGCGATTCAAGCCTTACAGGCCAACTACCAATTTCCCAACGTAGAGGCAATTCGGACCGTGCTTTGCTATTCCCACCGAGATTGCAACAATTTGCTCGGTTACACCCCAACCTACGGGTACTCTGCTCCGCGCCGGAGTAAAGTAACAGACTTCCTCTGCGCTCCATCGCCACCTCCAGACCCTACCTTTCCTGACGTCCCCTTAATCCGGTTGACAGACGAACAAGAAATGGCCAAAAGAAGTCGAATCAAAAACCTGCTCACCGCAACCTCGGCCGAGATACCGAGCGTCGTCGCCCGCTCCCCGGCTGCCGGTCAATCAAGTGCCGCCGTAATCGCCTTAGCTTCTCCAGCCGCCGGGCAGTCTAGCAAAGAAACACGCCGGGCTGGCAAAAGACCACGGGCAGATCCCTCTGCCGAGCTCGTCGCCGAACTAACAACCGAGCAACCTGCTGTCACGGTTAGCCCCATCCCAGCATGGCGGCCGCAGCTGAAGCACCGGGGCAAAGAGATCCCGGCCAATGCTTCGGTCAAAGGTGACAAGGAGCACTTGCTTGCCTTCGACCTCTCAAAGGCTCTGCTGCTGCCGAGCGACGTGGTTGGCAGCGACCACGTTCCTGAAACCCGGCTGGTCAAATCCGCCGTGAAGTCCATGACCAGGGTAAGAATTTCAATCTTCTGCTTCAATTTTCACAAGTGTTTGCACGGTTTCTTCTCTGATCAAATTCTCATTTTGCAGGCCATCCAAAAGCAGCACTTGGTCATGGAGCGCACCCACAGACTTCGACAGAAGGCGAGTGATACCGCCAGCCAAGTCGAAAGCCTCCAAACCGAGCTTGGCCGAGCAAAGTCATCGCTCGAAGCCGCCAATTCCGACAACAACAGGCTGCTCGGCCAACTTGAAGCAGCCGAGAAAAAGAAGGATGGGATCCAGGCCGAGCTTGACGAGCTGAAGAAGTCGAGGAAAAAAGACTGCGAGGACGCCAATAACGCTGGCTTCAATGAAGCCGAGGAAAACTACAAGCAACAAGTCTTCGCCACCTAGGACATTTACTTCAAGGCTGGATGGAAGGCTGCCTATCAACAACTCGGTCAGGGTCCTGACACTGACGTGTTTGCCTCTCCACCGGCTGTCTTCTTACCGACCTACCTCATTCCATATGCCAATGACGTCTTCAGCGCGCTGCAAGCTGAGGCCGAGGAAGAACTTGAAGAAGAAGGCGAGGCCGACGCTGAAGGAGAGGACCAAACCGAACAGGAGTAGGCCGGCCAGACTGGGACCGGTGTCCAGGACCCAACTGCCACGGTCAACCTGGAGGCTGATGAGGAATTCCCTGATCTCTCCCCCCTAGCTTAGGTTTCTTTTTTCTGTTTCTGTAAATGTAACCGGGCTAAGTTCCCCACATTTTGTATGAACTTTTTATCAATGAAAAGCTTTGATTTCATCAAGTGTT